GACGCCCTCCCCCCCGCTCTCCAAACGAAGTCTCCGCGAGCGTACCTCGGATCGACGCGCGTGCAATCCTGTTGTGCGCTCACCGGGGCGTAATCCCGGCTGCATTGACCGCCGAGGAGACGGAGCGGCGTTTGCGGACCCTCCTCCCGATGCAGCCCGGGGAGCGTCTGCGCTTCCCCCTGCTTTTTTTTCATGCCTACAACTCCCATCAGCCCCAGGCAGAAAGGCGGGTAGAGGATTGTGGGAGGAGGAGTTCAGCACCTCTGGGGAGTCCCAAGTTCCTCCCCAGCTGGAATGGGGGGCAGGGAGGCTGTTCTTTACGCCCACGCACGACTTTTGTTTGCTTGGATCATCGGAGAAAGCCGACGCCGATGAACTTGCAGAAGTAGCTGGCGGGCAGTTCCTGGACGTTTCTGTTTTCCAAAGGGAAGCCTCGGGCAGCGAAAGAAATAAATGATTCCCGAGGTGGCTGGAAAAAGGCTGGCAAGGGACCGCGATACACCAGACGCGTGGACTACGAGCCAGAACTCCTGGCATCAATGGGCTCTTCACGTTGCTGAGTGGCAGCGAGGACTAGAATAGACAACGAGGACCTTTCAACACGGACCCCGTTGAGCGAGGTCGTGTGTGTGTTTAGTCGTTTAGTCGTGTCCGACTCTTCGTGACCCCATGGACCAGAGCACGCCAGGCCCTCCTGTCTTCTACTGCCTCCCGGAGTTGTGTCAGGTTCATGTTGGTTGCTTCGCAGACACTGTCCAGCCATCTCATCCTCGGTCGTCCCCTTCTCCTCTTGCCATCACACCTTCCTAACATCAAGGTTTTTTCCAAGGACTCTTTTCTTCTCATGAGATGGCCAAAGTACTGGAGCCTCAGCTTCAGAATCTGTCCTTCAAGTGAGCATTCAGGGTTGATTTCCTTTAGAACTGATAGGTTTGTTCTCCTTGCAGTCCAGGGGATTCTCAAGAGCCTCCTCCAGCACCACAATTCAAAGGCATCAATTCTTCGGCGGTCAGCGGTGAGCGAGGTCACTACACCGGAAAACATTTCGAAGGATGTTTTTCTAAACCCAGGCTCCTTTCTCACGGCATTGCAGGGAGGACCTTTCAACACGGACCCCGTTGAGCGAGGTCACTACACTGGAAAACATTTCGGAGGATGCTTTTCTAAACCCGGGCTCCTTTCTCACGGCATCCCTGCACCTTGGGGGTTAGATCTGTTTGGACTTTTCAGGGAGCCCCACGACTTCATATATATATGAAGTTGCCAAGATCTTTGCGTCCGAATCACTGCTGGCCACCAGATGGCAGTCACGCCCCGCAAAGAGGTCCCCCTGCCTCCTGCTCAGCCGCCTCTAAATCGGTTGCACAGAGAAACCCGGGGCTGCCTCACTAGAAGGTGACCAAGACCGTCGTGTGCTTGGGTGTGGAGCTGGCAAAAGCAATCCTTAAGTATCTCACTTACCTCGAAAGCCCCTCGCTCTAAATTGGCTCCAACTTGACAAGCACAGAACACAAACATGCACTAAGAAAAAGGTTGTTGTTGTTTAGTCGTTAAGTCGTGCCTGACTCTTCGTGACCCCATGGACCAGAGCACACCAGGCCCTCCTGTCTTCCACTGCCTTCCGGAGTTGGTTTAAATTCATGTTGGTCGCTTCGATGACACTGTCCAACCGTCTCGTCCTCTGTCGTCCCCTTCTCCTCTTGCCTTCACTCTTTCCCAACATCAGGGTCTTTTCCAGGGAGTCTTCTCTTCTCATGAGATGGCCAAAGGATTGGAGCCTCAACTTCA